GATTTTAATTTAGGTCATCTCAGAATATTTTTTTTGTTTGTATGTTAGCTTTCTGCTTTTTCAGTAAATTGGACCAACATAGAGTTGTTGCTGGAATAAAAACGGAAAAGGCGCCAGGGCTTTTGTGGGCTGTTCTTGTTCTGTGGAAGTTGGAAAGATTGGTGGCAGTCTCAGCGTACATTAAGACCCTGTTGTCTAGACTGGATTTCTGGAGTTGTTGCTATATATTTTCTTTAATGCCTAAAATTATTATTTTGCTTTTCTTTGGTACTTAAGTTTTATTTTAAAATTAGAAAACTAGATCTTTAATTTTGGAGGAAATTTTATTAGGCGCACCTTGGTAGTTCTTCGTAGTAAAGGAACATTTATCAATATGTACTTAGCTTTTTTTTTTGGTTTTGTTTTGTTTTTAATTGATTTTAGAGAGAGGAAGGGGGAGAGAGAAAGAGAAACATCAAAGTGAGAAACATCAATCAGGTGCTTAATGGGGGATCGAATCCACCACCTTTTGGTGTACATGAGGATGCTCCAACCAATGGAACCACTTAGTTTTAAGTAGAAATGTCTTTGTAGGAATAGACAATTGAGTTCAGGAAATGCATGCATGAGAGTAATGAAATAACATCTCTCCCTGCTCCTTGTCCTTTAAAGATAAAATTCTTAATTAGTGATCTCACAAATTTGCCTCATCTGAACAAAGAGTTTTAATTAGTTACTGTAGGATTAAGCCAGTCATTATTTATTACAACTTGATGCTCAATGTTCTTATTGTCTGAATAATCCTACTTACTGTCTATTATGGGATGAGTTACTGTGTTGCTGTAAGCAGACCTCAGCCCTGAGGAGTGGACTGGGTCACACAGAACCCAGGTAGCCCGGGTTCAGAGCGGGAGCTCCTTTCCAGTGCCTCTTTCTTCACTGCCTCTGGGCAGGAAAAGAGAGTACTTTATTATTATTTTTTTATGTACCTCTATTGATTTCAGAGAGAAAGGAATAGGGAGAAAGAGAGAAACATCAGTGATGAGAAAGAATCATTGATTGGCTGTCTCCTGCATGATCGGGGATTGAGCCCACAACTTGGACGTATCCCCTAAGAATTTAACCATAACTTCCTGGTTCACAGGTCGACGCTCAACCACTGAGCCTCCTAGGCTGAGGCGAGATGTTTTTTGTTTTATGAAAATAATGTGAATTCATCTAAGGAAATGCAAACCTGTTGACTCTTGCCAGTTATTTGACTTGATCTCTACTGGAACACAAGCTCTATCCTGTCTAGTTGGGTGTGTGTATATATATATATAGTGGCATGATAGAGATGAAGTTAATATTTAAATCAGCTTCTTGTGCAGTCCAGGAGAAACTATTAGTAATACAAGAGGGTCCTAGTGCTTTTGGTTGGAGTCTGTATTAATAATAGCCTAGGTCCATGGTCGGCAAACTGTGGCTTTCGAGCCACATGCAGCTCTTTGACCCCTTGAGTGTGGCTCTTTCACAAAATACCACGGCCTGGGCGAGTCTATTTTGAAGAAGTAGTGTTAGAATAAGTTTAAATTAAAAAAATTTGGTTCTCAAAAGAAATTTCAGTTGTTGTACTGTTGATATTTGGCTCTGTTGACTAATGAGTTTGCCGACTACTGCCTAGGTGGTCATCACGCCCTCACGCTGTCACAATCCCACAATCCATCACCAGGAGGCTGTGTGTGCAATGGGCATGCACGGATTGGTGGGGACTTGACGCTGCATGTGCAGTGTGGAGGTGGGGCCCAGCAGCTCACCGCGAAGCCAGGCCTGGGGGTCCCGTGGCTCAGAGGCAATCCATTGAGGAACCCGAATGGGTGGACAGGGCCTACCTCTTTGGGGCCATCCATCTTGAGGCTCACACACTGTGAGAGGGCACAGGCCAGACTGGGGACATCTGCCCCCCACCCCAAATGCACAAATTTTGTGCACCTGGCCTCTAGTGTTACTATAAAATTAATATTTATATATATAGTACTTTTGGGATTTTAGTTGTGGCTACCATTTTAGAAATTAGGTTTAGCTGAATGTTAAGATTGAGTCATGCACCCTGGCTGGTGTTTCACAGGGTCTAGAGCCTCGGCCCAGGCATCAAAGGGTCCTGGGTTTGATTCCTAATTAAAGGCATGCAACTGAGTTGCAGGTTCTATTCCCAACCCCTAGTCGGGGTGTGTGTGAGAGGCAACCCACCAGTGTTTCTCTTTCTCTCTCCTCCTTCCTCTTTCTGTAAAATCAATAAAAACACTTTTTAAAAAAATGAACCTAACCATTGACAGTAGGCGAACATTCCATGGTCTATCAAATGTAGGAGGTATTACTAGAAATAATATAAACAATTGAGAGGTAAGGGATGGTGTAGGAGAAGAAGTTGAGTAAGTAGAGCAGGGTAGAATCTTTGAAAACTAGCAAGATAGGAATTTAGATTTGAATTAACATGTATAACATCATTCTTAGAGCTGTACAAAGTGATATTACCAAGTTGTCATCTCTGCCCAATAACTTTAAAAAAGGGAAACTAAGTCCGGTTGGTGTGGCTCAGCGGTTAAGGATTGATCCAGGAACCAAGAGGTCGCTAGTTTAGATTCCCAGTCAGGGCATATGCTTTGGTTGCGGGCTTGATCCCCAGTGAGGGCTGTGCAGAAGGCAGCCAATGGATGACTTCCTCTCTCATCAATGTTTCTATCTCTTTATCCCTCTTCTTTCATCTCGAAAAATCAATAAAAAATATATTTTTAAAAAATAATTTTTAAAAAAAAGGAAACTTAAGAGTATTTTCCTTTCCTGAGTGTATTATTCTAGATGTATTGCTGTCCACTGCTACCTGTTACAAAGTGGGGAAAGGGGAAAGGGACTTTAATCCATGGACAAATACAATAATTAATAAATTATTTAATATTTGCATACCATGTTTCACTGATTGACATTGGCATTCTGAGTTAAATTAATTAATGTATGTGAAATGTTTAGAAGAACAGCTGGCTAAAAGTAAGCAGCCTGTGTAACTTATTAGTTTTTGTTGGGATTATTTTCTGTGAATCCTAAGTGTCAGTTGATGTACAGAGTAATTTAAGGTGAAGATGTGATGTAGGTTTAATGCTCTATTCATGTCCCTCTCCCAATTATTCCCCCTCTTTTGGGGGTATGTTGATTTTGATTCTTTGAAAACTGAGTATGATTAAGATGTATAGATTCACATGTCTTTACCCAATAAAATTAAATGGAGTTAGAGTTAGTTTGGAGAAAACTTTTTAATATTTTCTTTTTCTAACACTCCCATGCTTTGTGTTTTCTGCATTTGACAAGGCTAAATCTGGACCCCTACTAGTTTGAGAGTCCCTCTCCCAGTCCGTAGGCAGTGACTTCCTTTGACAAGACTCACTGCATCAAAGATTGCTGGTCTCAGCAGCGTCGGTTCCATTTCTAGCCTGTGACTGTGGCCTGGACTAGAACAGGAAGACTGACTACAGGGGTGTTGCATTTAGTTATTTCTAGTTGCATGATACTTAAATATTGTCCTGGGCCCGCAGCTGTTGAGGAACATAGGACACTGCCTCTGTTACAGCAGCAGTGAATGGGCAGTGCCTCTTGACGTATTACTAGCTGAAAGGCAGCCAGTGGTGAAGCAGTAAGTACTGAGGCTCGGCTTAATTCTGGGATAACTTAGAAATGGTATAAATTAGATTTTTTCTTACTGGATTAAATTTGAACTATTTTGTTCTCAATATTCATCTAAATGATAATCGTCTTCAGTTGGACAGCCAATAGTTTCAATTGAGCTTACTTGTAAATAGTTGTTTTTGTTATCTTTTGTCTGTGCAAAATAGGACAGAATGTTTCCGTGAAGATGCTAAGGCTGAAAACGGGTTATAAACTGATCTTGAGGTGGCCAGTAGTTACCACAAGATAGGGTTTTCCATGGTTCAGATCAGTGAAAACATTTCCATGTGTAGTCCCCCTGAAATTTTATTTGTAATTCAGAAAGTTCTAGCTTTATACTTCGTTTAAGCAATTAAACCTAAAGTTTTAAATATGATGTTGGTGATATCATTTGTTAATCACATGGTTAGAAACATTGTCAGTAGAAAATAAAATGACACATACAAATGGCATGTGCAGTGAAGCTTAAAATAGCACATCTTCACATCCCTGCAGATTCCCTGCACTCCATGCGTGACCTCCTTACTTTATGTACTGCTCACAGAAAGGAAAACCAGAGGTACTTTAATTATCCCTTAAGGCTAGAATATTACATTTAAATGTTTTATATTCTTCCAGTTTTACTGTCTACTCATATTTCTTCGGCAGTTATTTTCTACGAGTCAGCTTTTAAGAGAGTAATAGGTTTGGCATTTTAGACTGTGTCTTGACAGTGTTGGCACCAGGGACACTTTTCCCTTACTTCTTTAGTTCTTCTGGCTGATTGAATAATTCAGACAACATCCAGCAGATTAACAGGAGAAGATCAAATTTTAATACTTGCACACAGAATATTCACATAGATAGATAGTTGCATATACATGAACATTCCAAAGACTGAGGCAAAATGAGGCAGATATGCCAGTTTGGAGAAGAAAAGAGTGGGATTCTTAAGGGGAGATAAGCAATTTGCAGGTAGAGGACAAAGTAGCAAGCAAATTCTTGCTAGGTGACTCAGACAGGGGGTTGCAGCACTTTATTCACAGAATGGCTATTATACTCAGGTTCCCTTCCTGAAGCCGAGTTTTCATCTGAATCTCTTGGGGGGGAGAGGGAGAAGATAACTTTTCCTATTTTGTTAGTCTGTACTTATTTTCAGCTCAAAGTAGCCTGCACGGCAGCCGGGCACATTCTGAGAGACTAGACCCCACAGCAGTCAGTACCTTGTTGCGTGGAGGAAAGAAAGTCTCTGGTCTGTTAAGATGCTTATAGTCTTTAAATATATCCAGGTTTACTTTCTGACTGACATTTGTCTGCTGTTCTGTTTGTTTATTTCTCAAACATAGAGCTCCCGAATGCTGTTAAATCAGCTGAGAGAAATCACGGGCATTCAGGATCCTTCCTTCCTTCAAGAAGCTCTGAAGGTTAGTTCCAAGGCTTCTGTTAGTCAGCAGGCTTTAAAACAGTTGTCCATATTGTAGTTATGTCAATTCAAGCTATTTTAATGCCTAGATGAAGCTAGATGTAGACAGAGCTCTTCAGGTCAAATAACCCGATGTCTTCAACATGTAAATGGACAAGACTTGCCATGCAGGAAACCCTCCAGGGTAAAAGAGGTTTATGAACATACAACCTGTTGCACACTATAAACTTTGTATGGGTCCTGTCTCAAAGATATTTGAGTCAGGGAATTTTGAAGTAATTTACTTAAAAACTCGTTACTTACTCTTAAGGAGTTATATTTTTTAAAAGATACATTCTGAAATGTTGACTGATGAACTGACACGATGCTTAAGATTTGCTTCAAAGTATCTGGAAGAGAGTAGGCAGAATAGATGACTACCTTGGTACATGGGTTCAGTCATACATTCCCTCTACTATTGTAAATGTTACAAAGTTTTCCTAACAAAACATTAGAAACAATTATAAGTATGGTCACCACTACAGAATACGTTTTAAGCACAATGCCTTACTATCCTCCACCATATCCCACCCCCCTTACCCCCAGACTTATGCCTAGACTTACTCCGTATATCTCCAGGTAGTGAGGAGTTATAATCAAGCAAGAAATTAACGCACTGCTTATTTTAAATGCTGTGATGCTTTACTTGTGAAGTTTCTTTCTCCTCTCTGTAGGCCAGTAATGGTGACATCACTCTGGCAGTCAGTCTTCTCACAGATGAAAGAGTGAAGGAGCCCAATCAAGACACTGTTGCTACAGAACTATCTGTAGAAGCGCGGAATGCTGCCAACAGAGAAGCGTTAGCCAGTAAGTATATCCTGTCTTAGTCCTGCTTGAACTTGCAAAAAATAACAAATGAGTGTGTGTGACTTCTATCTGCCACATCAGCCCTTTGGAAATAATGGTAATGATAACTGATGATTAAACCGTTGCCATGTGCCAGGCACAGTTGTAAGCACTTTTGTGGCTTCATTCATTCACACTTATTTAATGAGCAGCTGCTATGTGCCATGCCCTCTTGCTGGCACTGATGAACAAAATAAACAAGATGAACAAAATTAATAAGAATCCCTGCCTTCATGTGGCTTACTTTTTCAAGGGGAGATGAACAAACAAAGTATATAGCATACCAGAACATGCTAAGTACCATAGAGAGAAAGTAAAGGATGGAACGAAAAAAGTTTTGAGGATTAGATTTGAAATAGGATGAGCCTTTTGAAAAGGTGTAAGTCAAGTGAGGCCTTGAGGTGGGAATATACATTAGTTTGCTTAAGGAGCAGCAAGGAGGCCATAGCTGAGGCTTAGTGAGTGAGGAGGGCAATATGAGATGAGGTCGTAGAGAGAACAGGAGCAGATCACGCATAGCCTGCATAAGTGCTTGGCTTTCCTCTGAGTTAGATGGCAGCCATTGGAGAATCTGGAGCCAAGGACCATGTGATGTAAACTGTTCCCATTTTCTAAGGTCACTGACTGCTCTGTTGGGTAGAGGGTAATGAGTATGGGTCAGAGCAGGGAGCCCAGGACCAGTGAGGAGGCTGTTGCACATGCTGTTGGGCGAACTGGGATGTAGTGGTTAAGGAGTGAGAAGTACTTGCTATGTGGGCTTTGCTTACAGAAGAGACAAGGGGTGATTGAGAGGAATTAGAGGTGACTCCAGGGTTATTTCCTGAGCAGCTGAAATGATGGAGTTGCACTTATTCAACATAGGAATAGCTGTAGATGGAGCAAATTTGGGGTGTAAAATGAAGTGACCGGTTTGGGAATATTAAGTTTGGATGCCTGTTAGACATTCAGGTGGTGTGTCAAAAAGGCAGTGGAGCCCAGCCCATGTTGCTCAGTGGTTGTGTATTGATCTTTGAACTGGGAGGTCACAGTTTGATTTCTAGTCAGAGCACATGTCCGGGTTGTGGGCTTGATCCCCAGTAAGGGACATTTAGGAGGCAGCCAATTGATGATTCTCTCTCATCATTGTTGTTTGTATCTCTCTCTTTCTCTCTCTCGCCTTAAAATTAAAAAAAAAAAAAAAAAAAGAGGCAGTGGAGACCCATATGTGTAGTTCAGGGGAGAGATCCACTGGAGATAGCTAGAACTTGGAATCATAAACCTGTAAATGGTATGTCAAGTTATTGGACTACTGAATTCTTCAAGGGAAAAGAGAAAAGGTTCAGTGACTAAACAAGCCAGCACTCCCAGTAATGGGAGGTCTGGGGAGATCAGGAGTGTCCAGGGAGGTCAGAGGAAGACCAAGAGAACCAGGAGAGTGGTACTGTGGAAGTCAAGGAGGCTCCAAAGGAAAGGTACCATCAGCTGGGTCACATGGTATTAATGGATATTTCGTGTGTTTGTCATTTTGAACTATTCTGAATAATGCTGGTATGGATATTCTTTGTGTGTGTGTATATATATGGGCCACTATGTGCACCAAAGACTACACACACACGCACACACACACACACACGTTTTTGGTGCACATAGTGATCTTTTTAAATCAATATTTTGGAAGATTCATCCATGATGAAAGTTATAACTGTAGTTCACTTATTTTCACTGGTTTGTAGTATTTCATGGTCTGAATACACTACAGTTTATGTATTTATTGACTTTGGGGTTTGTTCACATTTTTTGCTATTATAAGCAAGGCTGCTGTGAGCTGTTTTGATTCATGTAACATGTGCATGGCTAATGATGTTGAGCATCTTTTCATGTATTATTGGCCATTTGTATGTCTTCTTCAAAAAAGAATTCTATCCAAATTCTTTGCCCATTTAAAAAATTGGGCTATTTATTTTTTTCATTATTTAGTTGCAGGAATAATTTAGATAGTCTGTATATAGGTATCTTATTAAGTACTTGATTTGCAAAAATTTTCTCTTGTTTTGTGTGTTGTCCTTTCTCATTCTTTTTTTTTTTAAATATATTTTATTGATTTTTCACAGAGAGGAAGAGAGAGGGATAGAGAGTTAGAAACATCGATGAGAGAATTATCGATCAGCTGCCTCTTGCACACCCCCCACTGGGGATGTGCCCACAACCAAGGTACATGCCCTTGCCCGGAATCGAACCCAGGACCTTTCAGTCTGTAGGCCAACGCTCTATCCACTGAGCCAAACTGGTCCCGGCCCTTTCTCATTCTTGATGGTGTCCTCTGAAGCCCAAGGTTTGTGGGTTTTTAAAAATTTTGATGTCAAATTTACCTAGTTTTTTTCTTTGGTTGTTTGTGCTTTGGCTGTCATTTCTAAGATGCCATTGCTTAATCCAATATCACAAAAAATTACAGTGTTTTTTCTAACAGTTTTACAATTTTAGCTGTCATCATGTGGTCATAAGGTCATTTTTTTAAAATGGTGTGAAGTAGGGGCTTAAAGTCATTCTTTTGTGTGTAAATATCCAGTTGTTCAGTACCATTTATTAAAAATATATTCTTTCTCTACTGAATTGTCTTTGTACCTGTGATGAAAAGCAGTTGACAATAAATGTGACATTTGTTTCTATTCCACTAAAATCTGTTTCCTTGATCTGTATTTTGTCTTTATGCCAGTAGCCCAGAATCTTAATGACTACAATTTTCTGGAGGTTTTTCTTTTTTTAAATTAAATGTTCTTTATTGTTCATGTATAGAAATTCATTTAACATTTGTATATTGATCTTTTGTCCAGCCACATTTTATTAATTGTAACTATTGTCTGTAGATTATTTTGGGTTTCTCTTGTAGGTGATCATTATCTATGACTTATGATAGCTTTCTTATTTTCCAATTCTCATATTTTTAAAAAATTCATTTTTTCTTATTACACTGACCAGAACTTTCAGAACCATAGTGAACAAAAGCCTTGATAGTTGGACATCTTTGTCTTAGTCTTGGTTTTAAAGGAAATGTGTTTGACATTTCACCATTAAGTACAAAATGTGCTGTTGGCTTTTCATGGATGCTCTTTTTCAGCCCAAGAATATTCTTTATAGTTAGAGTTTTTATGCTTGAATGGAGGTTTAATGTTATCAATTACTTTTTCTGTATCTATTGAGATTATAATTTTCTTCCTTGAAATGCTAAGATAGTGAATTTTACTGGTCTCTTTTCTAATGTTAACTCAATGTTTCCTACAATGAACTCAACTTGGTCTTAATATAGAATCCTTTTTTGTACATTAGCAGGATTCTCTTTGCTAATGTTTCATTTAGGTTTTGTTGCATTGGTAAACATGTGTGAGTTTAAATATATCTAGGTGTGTTAATGCTTTTACTTTTTTTCCTGCAATACACACAGAATGGCAATGTTTCCTGCATGTAGACTAATTGAAGTTCAATGTATCTTGCAGAAATAATAGACCTTACTCATGAGAATAAAGATGATCTTCAGGCTGCCATTGCTTTGAGTCTACTGGAGGCCCCCAAAATTCAAACTGATGGAAGAGATCTTAACAGGTAATTGATTTAAGTTATAATCTTTGCTCCCTACATTAGTGTGTAGGTCAAAGGCAATAGTTTTGTGAGTGCCACTTAAGAACTATTTTTCTAGGCTCCTTTAATTGCATCTGAATAAAATTTTTTAAGGAAAATTTACCAAATTTAGCTTACTTGCTCTGGTTCACTTTTGAAAAGCCAAATATGATAAGTGTCTTGTTGCAGCCTGTGGTCTTTGGGTAGAAGCCTGCAAGTTATGTAGTTCATACTTGCTAATTCATGGGTGGGGGAGAGGGGCAATCTAGCACAAGTATCCAATAAATATCTATGCCCTTTATACATATTTGTAAACTTTGAGGATTATGTTGATTTTTAAAAATGAAATAATGATTCAGTTACCCTGTATCAGAAGTGAACAGGGAATATAGTATTTGAATTGGTACTAATTTGGTGACCGGCTGGAATTGTCCACAAATATCCAGTTCCAGTAGTGGCCTGCCAGTTTCCAGATATGTTTATTCCCTATACTGTTGAGTTGTTTTTTCAGAGAAACACAGGGCCATGGTTTGGATACTAGACAGTTTGGAGGCTATTATTTAAAATATATATATTTTATTGATTTTTTACAGAGAGGAAGGGAGTGAGGTAGTTAGAAACATCAATGAGAGGGAAACATTGATCAGCTGCCTCCTGCACACCGCCTCCTGGGGATATGCCTGCAACCAAGTTATATGTCCTTGACTGGCATCAAACCTGAGACCTTTCAGTCTGCAGGCTAACGCTCTATCCACTGAGCCAAACCGGTTTCGGCTAGAGGCTCTTATTTTTCAAAAATACATTTTTATTGATTTCACAAAGGGAAAAAAAGGGAGAGAGAGATAGAAACATCAGTGATGAGATGGAATCATTGATTGGCTGCTTCCTGCACGTCCCACACTGGGAATTGAACCTGCAACCTGGGTATGTGCCCTGACCTGATTCATTGATTCATATGCGGATGTTCAACCACTGAGCCATGCTGGCCAGGCCAGAGGCTCTTACTGGTATCTTATAGCAGGGTGTCTCTCTTGCCTCTTCCAATGACACAGTTTGAGAGAGGGCACTGTAGCTGAACTCTAAAACTTTTCCTATGGTATCATAAATAGTCGTACGGTAAGTCTCAACTCAGTTCCATGAAGCACTTTATTAGTAATAATCTCTGTTATAGAAGGATTAGCATCTCTATGTTTAAACCTTACTTTTCACTTACATTATAATCTTATAATTACTATATAGCCAGTGATTATCCAGCAAATAGTTTATCTGGCCTTTGTAAACTTTATGAAGGGTTACCAATATCCTCCTTGTAGTATGTTGTTCTTTAACTTTTTCTTTTTCTGATGTGTGGTATATTGGCTCAATGCAGGATGCACGAGGCAACCTCTGCAGAAAATAAACGCCCAAAGAGGAAACGCTGTGAAGTCTGGGGAGAAAATCCCAATCCCAATACCTGGAGGCGAGTCGATGGTTGGCCAGTTGGGCTGAAAAATGTTGGCAATACATGTTGGTTTAGTGCTGTTATTCAGGTAGGATATTTTTAAGAGACAACTATGTAATTTTGAAACAATATTGTAATTTATTAAACCAAAATGTGAGGAGCATAGCTTTAAAAAAAATGGAAACATATAAAACTGGCGAGTTTCCCCTCACAGCATCATGTTTGGTTGCTTTCTTGTGTTCTGGATTCATGTGCTCTGGTGTCTACATTGGGCAGTACTAAAAACAACATGCTCTGTGGTTGTAAACATGTCGTGTCAGTGTTTTAGATCAGCATTCAGTGACTACTGTGTTGTAGCAGAGCAAGAGTTACTAAGGAGAAGCCAGTTGTTGGAGGCTGTCATGCAGGCAGGCAAGTAAGTATGATCCGCAACAGAGAAGTGGCATAAGCCACAGAGAAGAGAAATAGAGCATTTGGGAAGTGTTAGGAGATCGGATCTACAGGATTTGGAAAGAACTAAATTCAGGATCTCTGTAGGAGAGAGCAAAGAAACTCCCCCAAGGTTTCTAGTTGGATACAGGTGGATAATACCTGAAATACACTTCAGGAGGGCTGCTTTGGGTGAGTATTAAGAGTGGGATTTCTGTTCAGTCTCCCCCTCCGCCCAGTAGTTACTAGGTGGCAGACCAAGATATGTGACAAAAGTAGGATATGTTGTCACTTAAAAAATCATGGACTGTGGAGGAGAGAGGAACTGTTAAGGTATTCTAGTACAGAGTCCTCATTTTAACTTTTTATCTTCTCTGATTCCATGTATAACACTTTTCATTGACAATACTATACTTCTAAACACTTAAAAACAGCACCGTGTCCCAGACAGTGGGCTCCCTGAAGGCAAAGCCAGTGTATAACTCACCTCTCAGGGATTCTTGAGGAGATGAGTGAGTGAATTGAGTGGGTGAAAGAACATATTGTGTGTTTACAGAGGGGTTAAGTTGTTGAGGAAGCTTTGGGAAGCCACATGATACCTTCAGGGCTGACTTCACTGTTGCCCCCTCACGGCCTTGCAGGCCTTCATGTGACCATGCTGTCTTCTTACTGGCATGATGTGAACACAGCACCTGGGCTGCTGCCCATGCAGGCAGATGGCCATGCCTGCCCCATCCCACTGCAAGTCCCCAGGTTAGCAGCTGGGTCTTTCTCTCAGTGATGTGACTGGGCTTCCTGTCTTCCCTGACATGAATGCAGATTTCCCCCTAGGAGTCTCCAAATAAATCTCACAGCAGGGACTTCTCTGCCACCGTCATGCTTCTGTGTGACCATCCAGGAGTGCTTTAAAAGCTACTTTTAGGATTAACTTACCAATGAGCTTCCAGCTTTAACCTAAACCCAGAGCAGCACCCTGGCCCTTCCAACTCCCAGTGTAAAGCTAGCTAACAGCGCAGTTACTGTGTGTGCTCAAATGGGCCATCGTCTTGCCATCTGCTGCCATAGCCATCAGTCTTGGAGCCCTCCTTCCCAACGGAGTGGAACCATGGGGTTTGGGCTTTCAGTCCCAAACTCTCATGTGGCCCAACTCCTGCTCTGACAAGGGCAGTCTGAGATATTGGGGATGTTCCTGGCAATCCAGCACCTCAAATCTGATTCTTGTGAGGCAGGCCTCTGGGATTAGTTCAGTTTTATACTCATTGAGTTTGAGGGTATCGTGTAGTCAGGGAACTCTATGAATCTGTAGTTCGGTAAAAAGATCTGGGCTGCAGGTATATTCTGGGGATCAGTAGCATGGGTGGAGATAAAGCCAAGGGACTGGATGAACCCCTAGAGAGAGCCGCCTCTAGAGTTATCTCAGGCATCTGCACTGGACATGGCCACAGGGCCAACTGGACCCTGTGCCTGCAGTCTCCTTCTTCATAGCATTGGACCCACCCAGCTGCTCAGCCAGAAACAGGATCCTCCCTTTCCACACCTAAAGTCTATGGACTCCTGTGCCTGGCGCTGTTTTGGCACTGAATGAACAGCCCTCACTCCCATGGAGTTTACCTTGAAAAGAGTGGGACAGACGGTAAACAATATATATCAGGTGGTGACAAGTGCCATAAAGAATGGGGGTAAGAGCCGGGACCGGTTTGGCTCAATGGATAGAGCGTCGGCTTGGGGACTGAAGGGTCCTGGGTTCGATTCTGGTCAAGGGCATGTACCTTGGTTGTGGGCATATCCCCAGTAGGGGATGTGCAAGAGGCAGCTGATCGATGACTCTCTCTCATCGATGTTTCTGGCTCTCTATCTCTCTCCCTTCCTCTCTGTACAAAAATCAATAAAATATATTTAAAAAAAAAAAAGAATGGGGGTAAGAGGGGGCCAGAAAGGAGTCAGCTACACAGGCTGCTATTTGTACAGGGTAGTTAAGTGTCGCCTTTTGATAAGGTGGGCATCTGAGCAGAGACCTGCATTAGGTGAGGGAATGAGCCATATCCTATTTAATAAAAGGCTTATATGCAAATTGACCCAACGGTGAAACGACTGGTTGCTATGATGTGCACTCACCACCAGGCGGCAGATGCAAAATGCAGGAGCTGCCTTCTGATGGTCAATGCATTCCCACAGGGGGAGCACCGCTTAGCTAGAAGCTGGGCTCACAGCTGGCAAGCACAGTGGTGGTAGCAGGAGCCTCTCCCACTTCCGCAGCAGCCCTAAGAATGTCTGACTGCTGGCTTAGGGGAGCAGACCTAAGCTATCAGTCAGACATCCCCTGATGGGTCCCGGTCTGTGAGAGGACGCAGGCTGAGCTGAGGGACACCCTTCCTCCCCCCTACCCCAGTGCATGAAATTTGTGCACTAGGTCTCTAATAATTACATAAAGGCATTGTAAACAGGAAAACAGCAAGTAGAGACCCAAATTCAAAAACTTGGTTAATGAGTTGAGAAATAGGAAAAAGGCTAGAACTGAGTGATGGGAGAGATTATGACAGACAGTGATGAAGTCAGAAAGGCGGAGGTGGAGGTGGAGTGGGAGATGGGGTCATGATAAGGATTTAGGGAATATATATATGTGGAAAGTATTGGGAACGGAGCAGAGTAGTGATAGGATCCTACTTCCATTTCAAGAGGGCTACTGGAATCTATGTTGAGGACAGAATTTAGGAAGGTAGTGTAGAATTAAGGACATCAGTCAGTTCTTAGAGAGATTGAGACCCCCTGTATTCATACCCCCTCAGCCTTCGCTTCTGTTAGAGATGTTGAAAAGAACTAGCAGGTAGAGGGGATAACAAGTATGGTTTCTGAGAGCATGAGAGGACAAAATATGGCACATACAGGGAGGGAATAGGAAAACGGCAAGAGTAATGGGGAAAGAACAAGGAAGGAATGATGACTGAATATAAAGTTGACATAGTTTCTAATAGTCGATTTTTCCTCTGTGAAATACGCAGTCCTTTTCTAAGACTGGGCGAAGGAATGATAGATTTTAAATGGAGTGAAAGTTTGAGTTGTTGCAGACAGTGAGCAACTGATTGGCAGCAGAATATAATAGTGCGGTGATATCAGTATGTACTGTTTTTATCAGGACTTCTTAGCAGCGCTCTGAAACTGGAAAGTTAAATTCATTTAGGTTGGAGGATTTTATGCATCTGGTGAAGACAAAAGCAATTTGAGAATTTAATGAAGGGAATCAAAGGTAGAAAGAGGGAAAAATGGAGACAGGAAGGAACTGATTGTTAGGGGGAAAGGGAAGAGGTCAGTTTGCTTGGTTCCTATGAAATCAAGGGACAGATGTCCTGTAGGAAGTTGAAAAGATAAGCCAGAAGACAGGTGTGCTTTAAGAGTGGGATTTTCTGCATTTGGCATCTTTTCAGGTGTTGGCATATCCCGGTGTGCTGTGGTGTGGGTGTAGAGATGGACTGGAGGAATGTGTCACTAGAGAGACAAAGGGTCCCTGGGCTGAGTGGATGTTCAGCTAGAATGTGTTCTCGCACATGTGCTGCGAGAACACATCCTTGTTGAATATTCCACCTCCTGTATGTCTAAAATGTTCTGGGCCCTTGAGATGCGGAAGTGAACACAGCCAAAGCAGAACCCTGCCCTTATAGAATTAAGATGTAAATAAATTTATATAATATGTTAGACTGATTGGTGTGATAGAGAAAAGAGCAGGTTAATGGAGATTGCAATTGCTGCAGGAGAGGCTGGAGCTGGTTGCAGTGTAAATGGTGATGTTAAGCTGAGGAGATGAGATTGGAGCAAATGCCAAGGGAGTGAGCCAGGCAGCTGTGGGGGAAGAATATTCCAGTTGGGGAAACCACAGTTCAAGGCTTTGAGGTAAGAGTGTGTTCATGGGGTTGATGTGTGCACGGGACACCGTGGAGTCCCAAGTGGCAGGAGTGCGAGGAGCAGGAGGGGGAATCATCGGGATGAAATTGGAGAGGTAACTTGTCTTTCATTCTGAGTGAGATGGGAGTCACTGAGGGTTCTGAGCAGAGGGGTGGTGAACTCTGACCTGAGTTTCAAAGGCTCACGCTGGCTACTGTGAGAATGGATGGAGTGGGCAAGAACCGGTGAAGAGACCTATGGAGACTACTGCAGTCATCCGTGTGCGAGGTGATGGGTTTGGACCAGGCTGGTGGCCCTAGAAGTAGAGAAGAGGTTGGATTCCTGACTTATTCTGAGGGAGAGCTGACAGGAGGTCCCGTGATTGAATGTTGACTGAAGTTATCTGGTAAGATGACAGGACTTAGGATTGTAAGAACTATTACCAGAGAATAGTCTTCAGTGAGTTGGAAGATTAATTTTGGTCATTTTAGAAAGATGGAAGAACCTACGTGGCAGGTGAATTGGTACAAGGGACGTTCTGGAGGCAGGAAGGCTGTGTGCAGTGACCCAGGTGAGCAGTGATGGGAGTGTGATCGCGGCCCTTGATTGGAGGAGGTGGTTGGATCCAGCACCCCTGAGGCTCAATCCAGGCACTTCTCTGTGTGGGATGTGGCTGGTTAAGAAAGGGAAAGGATTCCAATATGATTCTGAATTTATAATTGGAGGAGGAGGATGTAATTAGTAGTACAAAGAATACAGAAGAAGCAGGTGTTGGGAAATGGGAGTGCCCTCTTATGGTTTTTAAGGGCAGTGGTGCAAAGCCTGATTTTGGTGAAGGTGAGGAGATGTGATGTGACTGAAAATGTAAAGCCATTTTATCGTGGTAGAACCGAAGTCCTGGAAAAGGTTATGGGGTGGTGAGCAGAGCAGAAGTGAAACTGAGAGGAATGGAGGCCTGTGAGGGAGGCAGTCGAAGTGGAATGAAGGAGAAAGCAGAGGGCTGATACTCCCAGTCCAGCTGTGCTCCCACCCTAGCTGATGAGTCCCACATAGACCTGCCATCAAGGGAGAGAAGGGGGCCTGTTGTCCACCCAGGTTGCAGCTTCAGGAGTCCAGGGTGCGGACTGCAGGGCTTTTGTTTGAGGAGTGTGTTGGGATGAGGATTAATAGTCACATGACAGATTTGGAAAACCTTATCTTTCAAAAGATATTCATAGTAGAAAAATGTATGATTTACAAAACAATGAAAAGAATCCTTTATCCCAACTCTGCCAGCCAGAGATATCTGCTGTTAAAAATTTTTTAAAATAAAACTATGGTGAATGAGAATGGAAAACACTGCTGTTCTTACTACTCAGCTTCAGAAATAAATTTTATGAATTTCTGTGCTATTGAGTCCCTGCTGTTCCCATCCTGTCAGCTCCAACCTTCCCCTCAAATATTGCCATATATGTATGAATCCTAAACAAACTATAGCATTACTTTATATATAACTAGAGGCCCAGAATTCAGTGGATTAGGGCCAGGCCTGTCAGGAAGAGGAGGTGGCGGGAGGTTGGCCAACCGGCCCATCCCAATTGGCCCACCCCAATCGGGCCCATTGAGGTGGTGAGGCCAATCTGGGATGGGGATGGAGTCGGGGGGGGGGGGGAGGGGGGGGAGGGGGGGAGGGAAAGTGGGGAGTAAGGGGCTGTGGGCTGAGGGGAGGAGCAGCTGGGGGAAGGGTCGTGGGGCTTGGCTGGCGCCCCGCCCTCGATTGGGGTGGGAGAAGCCAGATCAGGGGGAGGGCCGGCTGGGGGGAGGAGCTGCGGGGGTTGGCTGGCCGCCCCACTCCCTAATCAGGCCCGTTCACTGGGTTTAGTGGGCATCATAGCGACTTGTTCTGGTCATTATGGCGTCCCAGTCGCTGGCTTTTTATATATATAGATTGTATTTAATATAAATAATATAACACTTTATTTTTCTGTAACTTCTGTTCACTCAAAATATGTCTGAGATTTATCCATGGTAATTCATGTAGCTCTTGATCATTTATTTTCACTGTGTGGCAGTCCATTTTTATGAAAACATTTTTTCTCCAAAAGTAGTTTAATGATTACATAATAGCTTAGTGTATAAATGTATTATAGTTTATCTAATCTTTTCCTCTTGTTAGCCATCAGGAAGTTGTTGTTTTTTGTTTGTTTTTTCCTAAAAGAATTAACATTCAGCTTAATTTTTATACATAGCCATTATTATTTCCTTCAACATAATAGAAATATAATTACTATGTAGACAGTTAAACATACTTTTAAGATCAAAGCAGTATTGTTGCAGTTATTTTGAAAGAAAGGCTATCAACCCATTTCTCTCTTCATTTCAGTCTCTCTTTCAATTGCCTGCATTTCGAAGACTTGTTCTCAGCTATAGCCTGCCACAGAGTGTACTTGAAATTTGCCCCAGTAACACCGTAAGTTGCTGCTATTGAGGAATCTTCACTGTTTAGTTTCTTTCATCCCAAAAGCTTTAAATTTTTTGGCTGAAGCTGATAACTGTGATGCTTTTGATTTGTGCTAATATTGTTTTCACTTTCAAATGGCTTTTCCTTCTTTGTGACAAGAAATAAGGGTTTGCAAAAATGTAAAGTTAAGTAGGAACAAAATTGAAAAAACAGTTTCAAAGTGGTGAGTTACCTGCTGAGCTCAGCATGTGGAGATGCAGAGTCACTGTTCTGTTGTGGCAGAGCAGTGAGCTGCTTTAGTCACTCAGACTTAGTGACGCAGAGGAGGCACCTAGTGCTGGAGGTCTGGACTCAGAAGAGGCTTTAGCCCTGGCTGGTGTGCTCATTGTTTAGAGCACCGACCCTTGAGTCAAAGGGTCGAGGGTTCAATTCCTGGTCAAGGGCAAGTACCTGGGTTGCAAGTTCAAGCCTGGGCCCTAGTCAGGGTGGGTGCAGGAAACAACCTATTGATGTTTCTCTTTCTCCCCTTCCTGCCTCCCTTCCACTCTCTGAAAATCAATGGGAAAAAAATACCCTTGGGTGAGGATTAGCAAAGAAGACAAAAAGGATGAAGCCTCTTGCCAGTGATCTGACCCTTCCCAGGATTTCACCTGTGACAGATTTCCTAACAGGAGGGAGGATGGCAGCTTCAAAAAAGAATTCTACTATTGACACTATTAACTCCCTTGCTACTATATAGACACTCTTTCAGTTGAGAGTAATCCCCTATAGAGACCTGTCAGGGTACCTGTAACATAGTTTGAGACCTGACCCTGGTCTCTATCTAGGTAAACATAAATGTAAGGAGTGATCATTGACAACTTTTCTCTTTATATGTTGTAATTTTCCAAGTAAGAGGTTGTAAGAGTACACATTGCTGTGTTTTCTACAGGAAAGGAGAAATGTCATGTTTATGCAAGAGCTTCAGTATTTATTTGCTCTGATGATGGGATCAAATCGCAAATTTGTAGACCCTTCGGCAGCCCTCGATCTCTTAAAGGGAGCATTCCGATCACCTGAGGAACAGCAGGTACAGGGTTTTTCTCTCAAACTCTGTGGAGTTTGAAATCATGCCTAACATTACTGTAATGTTTATTTTGACCTTGTAATAAACTATGAACATGAGTAAGCAGGACAGTGGGTGCCTACCTTTGCCCTTTGTAATGTCTGAGGAACAGGTGGTAAAAAGAGTGTGTGTTGTCTGGGGGAGGCTGGCAGTTGTAAGAGGAAGTAGTAGTAGAAATAACAATTATAAAGAGGCTGTTGAAGGAGGAGGAGATTGGAAAATAGCTCAGTGAGTGCTAGCAAGAGTCACTGAGAAAAAGTCCTTTGTCTACTCATTTGCTAGGTGTAGACCATTTCACCCTGAGTCCAGCAACTCTGAGCAATCTTCTAGATGTTAGTAACTTCTTTTCTCCGCCTCCTATTAGGAAACAAAGCTCTCATTATTAGTGCAGCTTCTTCCTCATAAAATTAATATTTTTTTCTCTAAAAGTCCTACAGTTCTGCAAAATCTCAAAACATTTTACAAAAGTTTTCTTTCTTTCTCATAAATTCTAAAGGACTACACTGTGTTCTTTGGGCCTTTGTAAAAAGTCCTATCGGGAAGATTTCATTTGTTTGTTACAAAAAGAGGTGCTGAAGTGGCAGCGGTCCAGTTTCCTGCTAGCCACAACTCAGAGGCTGCCTGGTGTGCCTTCTGTTGCACCTTTGGTAGCTGGTCCCAGAGTTCCAAGTATCTTCTTGATAGGTGGCCTTAAAATAGAAATCTTTGCATGGTAATAGAACCTTAGTGATTGGCGGGATAAAAGCAAATGTTTGTTTCCCTAAGTATAGTGTGGGGTCTAACTCTTCTGCAATTTGTTACCTTTCTTATAGCAAGATGTGAGTGAATTCACACACAAGCTTCTGGATTGGCTGGAGGATGCATTCCAGCTCACTGTTAATGCTAAGTGAGTGTCACCGATCCGTTTGTACATTCTTCCTGCTCACAGTGGTCCAGTGAGAATTATGATAAAGGGGAATAATACTCATCTTAAGTAGAAATTGCTGGTTTTGCCCAACTGGCATGGCTCAATGGTTGATTGTCAAACTATGAACTAGGAGGTCATGGTTCGATTCCCATTCAGTCACAGGTCCAGATTGCAGGCTGGACATGTGGGAGGCAGTCAATCAATGATTCTATCTCATCATTGATGTTTCTATTTCCCTCTTTCTTCCTCTGAAATCAATAGGAAAGAAAAGAAAATAAATTGCTATTTTTTTCCAAACCTCATGGGGTAGCCACTCATATTTATCATTGTGCATCCCCATTGTCTTTGGCTTTTCTCTTTGAGGATATAGATAAGCATATTAACCCACAATTTTTTTACTAAAAGGGCCATAATTATTATTATTATTTTAATATATTTTTATTGATTTTGTACAGAGAGGAAGGGATAGAGATAGAGAGTTAGAAACACCGATGAGAGAGAGTCATCGATCAGCTGCCTCTTGCACACCCCCTACTGGGGATATGCCCGCAACCAAGGTACATGCCCTTGACCGGAATCGAATCCGGGACCCTTCAGTCCCCAAGCCGACGCTCTATCCATTGAGCCAAACCGGTCTCGGCTAAAAGGGCCATAATTATTAACTTCGTTACAGCCATAGCCTGTGCTGTAAAATGTGTTAAAAGGTTAAATCGTAGACGTGAACATGGTCGAGTAATATAAACCATTAAATCTGATCTAAGACAACTGGTGTAATTTCTGTAGATCAATGGTTCTCAACCTGTGTGTTGTAACCCCTTTGGGGGTCAAACAACCCTTTTACAGGGGTCGCCTAAGACCATCGGAAAACACAGGTATTATTTACATTACTATTCATAACAGTAGCAACATTACAGTTATGAAGTAGCATCGAAAATAATTTTATGGTTGGGGATCGCCACAACATGAGGAAGTGTATTAAAGGGTCGCGGCATAGGAAGGTTGAGAACCACCAGTGTAGACTGATAGAGAACAGCTTTTAGTCATGTCAATCATTATAAGAAATGAAATTCAGGGCAAAGATACAAGTATCCCTCACCCAATATAGATGCTGAGGAATTTGTTTTCTAAATTGTCATAACTTTGGGTAGAAGAAATGTATATCATAAAACAGCTTTGCAAATGAAAACATACATAGTTAACAATTTAAGGTAGGCTTGTAGATATAAACTAAAGTTGACCTTAGAACAACATAGGTTTGAACTGTGCAGATCCATATATACATGAATTTTTTTCAATGTATATATTAGAAAACATTTTTGGAGATTTGTGACAATTTGAAAAAGCTTCAGATGAACCATATAGCCTAGATAAATATTTTTAAAAAATCAAGAAAAAGGTATGTCATGAATGTGGAAAATAGTGTATTATTTTCTTTTATAATTTTCTTAACATTTTCTTTTCTTTAGCTTATTTTATTATGAAGATACAGTATATAATACATAATTCACAAATATGTGTTAATCAGCTGTTTGTATTACTGGTAAGGCTTAAGGTCCACAGTAGGTTGTAAGTAATTAAGTTTTAGGAGAATCAAAATTATACATGGATTTTCAACTTTGTCCCTAACATCCTCATTGTTCAAGGGTCACTGTATTTTCATTGACTATCATGCCACTGGGAAAACATTTTCTATTTACAATATTTGCGGAACTACACAAGAAGGTTCATTCTCATCTGTGTACTACTTTTATGCCCTGTATACTTTGGAGAGCTATATCTAACTCTTATATATGTATCGAATGTATACAGATACATGTATAAGGCTTTCAGGCCTTACAGTCCTTGTGCTTTCAGATTTTAGCATATACTTGTCCAGTGAATGTGTGGACTGATCTATTACTTATTTTAGACCATACCTGGCTGTTTGTTTAAATGAAATGTAGTGTTTTTGCTTTTGAATGATGGTTGGGTTTAGTGTAGTGCTTATCTGATCCAAATGATACCAAGTTGTCTCTTTTTTTAAAAAGCAGCAATCACAAGAACAAATCTGAAAATCCAATGGTGCAGCTATTCTACGGTACTTTCCTCACTGAAGGGGTTCGTGAAGGTAAATTCTCTTGCTGTAATTGTTAATGCTGTGACCAAATCTATATTACTGTGACAATTTGGGGAGGCAGTGTAGGGAAAAGGCTTGGGAATCAGACAAATGCAGGTCTGAATGTTGGTTCTGACTCTTAGAAATTGTGTAATTGTGGACAAATTATGTGAGGTCCTGGGTCCTCCGCCTCTATAAGATGGGCCCAGTCAAGTAGTTCTGTTGGTTAGAATGTCATCTCCATATACCAGGGTTGTGTGTTTGATCCCTAGTCAGGGCATATAGAAGAATCAACTAATGAATGCATAAATAAGTAGAACAACAAATTGATATCTTTCTCTCTTTTTCATCAGTCAATAAAAAATGTAAAAAGATGGTCCTGATCATTATCTCAGAGTTGTTATATTACGTTGTGTAATATTTGCACTACCCAAATTTAGTATTAATTTCAGATACACAGTGATGTTACTTAATTTTCTGTTGTTGTTTCCAATGTAATATCTAATCTCAAAAGGTTTTATTGTGTTAGACTGCCAGAAATGTTTGTCTACTATAGAAGCTACATGTTGGCCACATGAGGTTTTTTTCTTTTTTTCAGCTATAGAGCATTTTGAACACATAGAAATAGGCCAATATAAAAACCTCCATGAACTCAGCAACCATTAGCCTATGGCCAATCATTCTCCATGTAACCCTAGTCTATTCTTACCCCTCTGACATTCTTCTTAAAACAATCCAATATTATTATCACACCAAAAAAAATAGCATTTCTTATATCAAATATCTAGTCAGAATTCAAATTGTTGACTTGTCTAGTTATATATGGAGGCAGAGTTTTTATTTTTAGTTTCTCTTAATTAGGATCCGAATGTGGTGAGTTTATGTTTGGTTGATGTCCTTTAAGTCTCTTTTCATAATCTGTAGATTCTTCAATCTATTTTCTTTGAAATGTTATATGGTGTTTTGTTTTGTTTTGTTTTGTTTTGTTTTTAAGAAAGCAGGCTGTTTGTTCTCTAGTATTTGTATTTCCCACACTCTGAAATTTTGCTGCTTGAATATCCATGATATAAATTGATAGTTGGATCTAGAGTTTGACTGGATTCAGGTAAGGCTTTTTTCTCCTCCCCAAAATATATTTTTGTTTATTTCAGAGAGGGAGAGAGGGAAAGAAACATCAATGATGAGAGAGAATCATTGGTTGGCTGCCTCCTGCACTTCCCCTACTAGAGGTGGAGTCCACAACCTGGGCATATGCCCTGCCTGGGAATGGAACCATGACCTCCTAATTCATAGGTCGATGTTCAACAACTGAGCTATACCAGCTGGGTTGGGTAAGGCTTTTTTAATCAAGACAAACTCACAGGTCGTGAGACAGTCTCAATCAGGAGGCATTTACTGTCTGCTTGCATTTCTTTTTGCAGTGTTAGCAGTTGCCAATGATTTGGGCCTGGATCCACTGGTTCATTAGCGGTTGCCACACAGGCTTAAATGCACTACAGATCAGTTCTCAGAATGTTGCTGAATTAAGAAGACATGGTGTCTGGTACCAGAAAAAAAGGGCTTTAGATCTCACTGTGGTAGTGATATCTTTTAAAAATCATTCTGTTTCTTTGTCTAGGAAAACCCTTTTGTAACAATGAGACCTTCGGCCAGTATCCCCTTCAGGTAAATGGCTATCACAACTTAGACGAATGTTTGGAAGGGGCCATGGTGGAAGGTGACATTGATCTGCTTCCTTCTGATCATTCAGTGAAGTACGGACAAGAGGTGAGTTGGGAATTTTATTTGGTGCGCCAACCACAAAGCCAGTTAAATAGGATTGAGCTTTTAGGCCATTTTCCCATCACATAGCTTTACATGTAACAGAACTTAAACTTGTCTGAGATCTCTCATGAGTTGATATGAGTTGGTGAGTCTTACTCTTGGATAAATTCTTTACTAAAAGTGTGAATTTGGAGTCTGAGTTACTCACATAAAGGTTGTATGCTGCTTCTGATATTTCAAGTGTGATCAAGTTTCTCTCTTTCTGTTGAAGCCTACCTGTACCTGAGTAGGGAGAGCGCACTGCCTCCATATTTTCGGAGGGTAAAAGTACAGTGATTAACTCCTATGGTATGCTATTTAGAATATTTTCCCTATTATAGTATTTACTGTTTTCCATTGTAACTTCTGCCTTTACTTTAAATTTTTTTTTTTACATTTTGCATTTATTTATTTTTGTGGGTTGGAAAGGAATGGGGACATTAAAGGGAGAACAAGGGTAATTAATATCTCAAGACTTCAGCTGGGTTAAGAATTGCATTTGCATCTGTAGTAGCATTATTGTCAGTACCGCACAGCTTGGATTATTCTCTTATCATCATTCATTTTGAGACAAAATTATGGCTTATATGATGAGTCCAACTCAATACTTACTATTGGAGGAAGAAAAGCTTTCTTGAGTTAAAATAGGTAGCATAACATGGGCCTTGTCAAAATGCATTAGTGGTAGGGCAGGGCTGGGACCTAGAGAGAGTAACTGCTTCCCCTAGCTTCTCAAGGAAGGCTCTGATTCCTGATTCTGAGGAGCTGCGTGGAGCTGATGGTGTGCTTACAAAAGAGGGGATGCTCACCAGTTACTTAGCCCTCTGGAGACCTTTATTCAAGGATGGGAACACTTTATATATAGATAAAAGAAAATCATTATGCTTGTTTGGATTTATCCCTGAGGTAGTCAGACAGGCTATCTGGATTCACCTTTGCCCGAGGGCCTGTGAAGGGAACCGCTGTTTGTACTTTTGGTAAAGTGAATATTTTAAAGCTGTCATACAGACCTCTGGCCTATAGGTGAATTGAACAGAAAGGTCTTTCCTGGTCTAGTTTTTCCTCATCTATGACCAGTGACAGTTAAGATTGGTTTTAAAAGTCAGGGCTTTCTTTTCTTGAAACTCAAGGTAACATTATTGGTTCATATATCTGGGTCCCTTAGGAGGTATCTGTAAATTGTTGGAATTGAGAGATTTTCTCAGGAACTTGAGAACTCATAATCATGAGGCTACTTCAAGTTTCCTTTTTAGACAGAAAGGGGATTCAAGTTATGGTTAATAGACTACAAATAAATAATGCATTATATATGCATACATATTAGTCTTTTTAGCTGATTCATGGAGACAGTTGTCCCCTTACTTATATGCTGCTTAGATTATAATTTCTAATTCTTTGGTTAGGCTGCCCTTCAGGTTTTGAATCTATTTTGAGTACTGATGACTTAATGAATAAATTGCATAGGTGCTTGTGCATTCACATATTTAAGGGTGGTTATTTCTGAGGATGATAGTTGAGCTGAGTACTGAGGAATGTTTAACCATACTTTCAATGAGAGCATGATTCTAAGTGGTCATTTCCTTTAGGATTTGAGATTAAACAAGAGCTCTAGTATGAGTTTGATTTGAATATAAATTCTATACCAAAAATACAGAGTTATGAGGGATATTTTAAATCTGACTATTGCCATTTCCTGAAAATAACTTATTTCTCTCACATTTCTACTCCTGACATAGTGTTGGTTTACAAAACTACCTCCAGTGTTAACCTTTGAACTCTCAAGATTTGAGTTCAATCAGTCCCTTGGTCAGCCAGAGAAAATTCATAATAAGCTGGAGTTTCCTCAGATCATTTATATGGACAGGTGAGTTCTGTGATTGATTGTCTTAAGGTTGATTATCTCATTATGTGATTTTTATCTCTCAATTTGTTTATGTGATGCATCATGTTTATTGGTTTGCGGATGTTGTGCCATTCTTGCATCCCTGGAATAAATTCCACTTGGTCATTGTGTATGTTCTTTCTAAGGTAATGCTGGATCTGATTTGCTAGGATTTTGATGAGGATTTTAACATCTATGTTCAGCAGAGATGTTGGCATGTAATTCTTTTGTAGTGTCTTTATCTGGTTTTGGGATTAAGGTAATGCTGGCTTTGTAGAAAGAGTTTGGAAATGCTCCTTCTTCTTGAATTTTTTGGAATAGTCTGAGGAAGATGGACCTGGGCTTTTGTTGCTGGAAGTTTTCTGATTACTGCTTTAATTTCCTACATAGTTATCGATCGGCCTATTCAGATTTTTTAATTCTTCCTGGTTGAGTTTTGGAAGGTTGTATTTTTTCTAGGAATATGTTAATTTCTTCTAAGTTGACCAGTTTATTGGAATAGAGTTGCTCATAGTATTTTTTTACGATTCATCGTATTTCTATGGGGTCTGTTGTTATTTCGCCTTTCATTTCTAATTTTGTTTATTTGGGTCCTCTCTCTTTGCTTCTTGGTGAGCCTGGCTAGAGGTTCATCAATTTTGTTTATCCTTTCAAAGAACCAGCTCTTGGTTTCATCGATCTTTTGTATTTTTTGTTTGTTTGTTTTTGATCTCTATGTCATTTATTTTTGTTCTGATCTTTATTATTTCCATCCTTCTGTTCACTCTGGGTGTGTTTTTGTTGTTGTTGTTTTCTTTCTAATTCTTCAAGTTGCAGTGTTAGATGGTTTATTACCACTTTTTCTTGGTTTTTTGAGGTAGGCCTGTAATGCTATGAACTTCCCTCTCAAGACTTCTTTCACTGTGTCCCAAAGATTTTGGATTGTTGTGTTTTCATTTTTATTTGTTTCCAGGATGTTTGTTTGTTTTTCTAATTGATTTTTTACAGAGGGAATGAGCGTTAGAAACATTGATGAGAGAGAATCATCGATCAGCTGCCTCTTGCACACCCCCTACTGGGGATGTGCATGCAACCCAGGTTCATGCCCTTGACCGAAATCGAACTCAGGACCCTTCAGTCCACAGGCCGACACTCTATCAACTGAGCCAAACCAGTTTCGGCATTCAGCATGTATTTTATTTCTTTTTTGATCTCTTTGTTAACCCACTCATTGTTTAATATTATGCTATTCAGCCTCCAAGTGTTTGAATTTTTTGATTGTTTTTATTGTAGTTGATTTTTAATTTAATGCCATTGTGATCTGAGAAGATGCTTCATATGATTTCAATCTTCTTAAATTTGGAGAGACTTTGCCTGTGTCCTAATATGTGGTCTATCTTTGAAAATGTCTCATGTGCGCTTGAGAAGAATGCATAGTCTGTAGTTTTGGGGGTGGAATGTTCTGAAGATGTCTATTAAGTCCATCTGATCTACTGAGTTGTTTAGCATTGCTATTTATTTGCTAATTTTTTTGTCTAGAGGATTTATGCAGTGATGTTAATGGGCTATTAAAGTCTCCTACTATAATTGTATTGCTGTCAATCTCTCCCCTGATAATCTTCCAGAAGATTTTTTTAACGTATTTAGGTGCTACTGCATTGGGTGCATAAATGTTTATCAGAATTATATCCTCTTGTTGTATCGATCCCTTTAGAATTATGAAGTGGCCTTTTCTTGTCTCTTGTTATGGTCTTCACTTTGAGGTCTATTTTGTTAGATAGAAGTATTGATACCCCAGTTCTTTTTTTTTTGTTTTTGTTTTTTGTTTTTTTATTATTTCTATTTGACTGATATTTTTCCATCCCTTCACTTTCGGTCTGTGTTAGTCCCTTGTTCTGAGATGGGTCTCCTGTAGACATCATATATATGGGTCATGTTTTCTTATTCAGTCACATTTTTTGATTGGAGCATTTAATCCATATATGTTTAATGTTACTTGTTTGTAGCCATTTCTGTTCTTTATGCCTGTATTCCTTCCTCCCTTTCTATTTCTTCTTTTTACAGCATTCCCTTTAGCATTTCTTGCATTGCTGGCGTGGTGTAATGATAAACTCCCTTAGCCTTTTTTGTCTGCGAAACTCTTGATTCCCCCTTCAGTTTTGAATGATAATCTTGCTGGATAGAGTATTCTTGGATTCAGTCCTTTGCTTTGCATCACTTTGTGTACGTCATTACATTTCCTTCTGCCTTGATGTGTTTCTGTTGAGAAATCATTTGATAATCTGATGGGGATTCTTTGTAGGTAACTCTCTGTCTCTCTCTTGCAGCCTTTAAGATAATCTCTTTGTCAATAACATTTGCCATTGCAATTCTGACGTGTACTGGTGTGTGTCTTTTGGGGATTCATCTTGCTTGGGACTCTACTTGCGTGACTTTTTTTCTTCCCCATATTAGATAAGTTTTCTGTCATTATTTCTTCAAATAGATTATGTAATCCTTGCTGTTGTTCTTGTACTACTGGCACCCCTATTATATGTATGTTACTTCATTTCATGTTGTCCCAAGCTCCCTTAGGCTCTTCTGCTTTTTAATTATTTTTTCTAGTTGGTATTCAGATTGGGCTTGTTTCTCTATTTTATCTTCTAACACACTAATTCAGTCCTCCACTTCTTCCAGTCTACTGTTGAAACCTTCCATAGCGTTTTTTTATTGTAGCTAGATCACTTTTGATTTCTTTCTGATTTTTGCATAGGTTGTTGATTTTCTTGTCCATCCAGTATATGAACTGTATGACCATTACTCTGAATTCTTTTTCTGTCATATTGCATGTCTCTGTTTTACTTATTTCCTTTCTTGACGAATCCTTTTTTTCTTTCCTCTGGGGATTGTTTCATTGTCTCCCCATTCTAAGTATCACCAGAAGGTCCAAACTCCAAGTTGTGGGGGCTCCAGCTGTGTGCAGTAAGAGCGTCATGCCACCCGAGTGTCACTAAAGAGCTCCGACACCAAGATGTGTGGCTGCTGTGGGTTAGTGGGAGCCATGCATGCCACGAATCAGAGTCACCTGCTTTCAGTGCGGCCTCATGCACGCACCTAGAATCAGTGTTCCCATATGTGCTGCGCTGAGAAAGAGTCTCATAACATGCTCCAGGAATCAGAGTCCCCATGTTTGTGTGCTGAGAATCGAGTATCAGAGTCTCTGTCACTCGGTGTGGCCTTGCATCAAAAATCAGGGTCCCTGTGCACACATGGACCAGGAATTGGAGTCACTGGCACTCAGAGAGTGCACACTGAGAATCAGTGTTCCCATGCACCTGTGATGAGAAACAGAATTCCCACATGTGGGCGCCAAGAGTCAAGTCACTGTTGCTCAGTGTGACCTCTCGCGTAGAGAATCGGGGTCCCTGGTCTGCTTGGGGGGCCAGGTTGCACAACCTGCCTGTGTCACAGGAGGCTTGCTCGTGCGCTGTAGGAAATAGACTCCCTGTATGTGTGAGCCCAGAGTCAAGTCGGGTAGCACAGTCACCCTGTGTTTATGGGAGGCCTGCAACATGCTGCAGGAGACGGACTACATGTGCACGCACACACCCAGAGTTGAAGTCAGGTAGCACAGCCGCCTTGTGTCAGCAGGAGGCCTGCTAGTGCAACGTGGGTCTAGCAGGTCCTGTTCCGCAGCAGTGGGCTGGCGGGGAGGGGTTTCTATGGCTCATAGAAATCTGCAGCCAGGATGTCTGGAGTCTTGGTGTCCGTGAGGCTGCTGCTGTGGTGGCAGGTCTTGGTCCCAAGTGGCTGTAGGATTCTGGTTTGCATCTGAGGACAGTCTGGGTGGTGATTAGGCTAGACCTTAGTTGCTAGCAGTTTTTCCCTTTAAGATGGCATGGTTTCTGTGCAAGCGTTGGCCGCCCTGGAGTGTTTGCAGTGGCAGCATGGTTTTGCAGTCTTAACACTTCCTGGTCCAGCAGCCCCCCAAAACCCTGCAGGATCTAACTGTTCCTAGCTAACACACACACACATCACATGTGTCCACACACTCCTCTATCGCTCCCTCACTCTTTCACACACTCTCCCTCCCTGCCTTCTTGCCGGTTGCCATCTTTTCGGTCTTCCAACCCTTTTCTAACATGGCTGTACAATTTTGCATTTCTACCAGCTCCATTTGCTTCAAATCCTACCAACGTGTGAAATTAATGTTAGCCATTATAGTGGGTTTGTAGGGATATCTTATTACTTAAAATTTATATTTCTTTGATAACTAATGATGTTGAGCATCGTTTTGTGTAATTAATGGTTATTTTTGTATTTTCTTTTGTGAAATGTCTATTCAAACCTTTTGTTCATTTCCTTAACTGTGTTGTTGTGTTCATACTGAGTTTTAAGGGTTTTTTAAAATACATTTTAGATTCAAATCCATCTGCTGTCTCTTCCATTTAATTCCAGTGTTTTTTAGAAGAGCAGGAATTTTAGTTTTAATGCAGAATAATGTATCAGTTTTTCTTTTATAGTTAGTGCTTTTTATGTACTAATTAAGAAATCTTTGCCAAACCAAAGGTCACAAAGATTTTCTTTTTTTTCCCTTTCTGAAAAATTTGTAATTTTAAATCTTAAATTTATGTCTATGAGTCTTTTAGAATTTACATTTTTATATAGTATGAGATAAAGGTTTTTGGTGTTTTGTTTTGTTTTTTTAATAAGAGGGAAAAGATGGCATGTGGGTGTCCAATTATTCTAGCACCATTTGTTGAAAAAATACTCCTTTCCCTCATTAAATTATCTTGATACTCTGTTAGAATTAATTAAATTTACATTTGTGGGTCTATTTCTGGAGTCTGTGTTCTTTCTGTTGCCTAATTTTCTGTCAGGGCTACATTGTCTCGATTACTGTGGTTTTATTATAAATCTTGACCTCAGTATAAGTTCTCTAACTTTGTTTTTCTTTTTTCAAATTGTTTTGGTTATCCTGGTAACTTTGCATTATTTTATTTTTCCTTTTAATTTTTATTGTTGAAAGTTTTACATAGGCCTTCTTTTTCCTCCCTTTAATCTCTTCCAGCCTGCTCCCATTCTCACCCTCTCTCCCAAACCCTCACCTCCCATTGTCTGTGTCCACAGGTTATGCATCCTTTGTATTTCTATTAGGTCTAGTAATACTTAATGTCGTTTTCTAATACTTTTTAAAATCGAATTTATTTAAACAATATAACAAAATTTAATCAACAATATAGTTGCCGTTGTTTTCTACTACTTGTGCCCAACGCTCAGGAAGCATTTTAATCCCTCTGTTGTAAAATTCTTGTGGTTTTGATGCAAAAAATTCGGTCAATGCATTTTTGAGGCATTCTTCATTATTAAATTTTTTTCCAAGAAGAAAGTTTTGCAAAGAACGAAACAAATGGTAATCGGAAGGGGCAATATCAGGAGAATATGCAGGTTGAGGGAGAACTTCCCATTCCAACTGGCGCAGTTTTTCAGCAGTGATTCTTGCAGTATGCGGTCGTGCGTTATCGTGGTGAAGAATTACGCCCTTCCGATTAATCAGCGCGGGTTCTTTTTCTCTTAAAGCTTGGGCTGACCTTTCCAATTGGGCACTATACACTGCACTTGTAATGGTTTGGTTAGATGGTAAAAGTTCATAATGAAGAATTCCTTTAAAATTCCACCAAACACACATCATCACTTTTTTCGCATGCAAGTCAGGTTTTGGCGTGGGCTGCGGAGCCTCATTTTTGTCCAACCATTGAGGCCGCCTTTTCAAATTAACATACAGCACCCATTTTTCATCTCCGGTAACAATTTGCTCTAAAAACGGCAAACGGTTTTGACGAGAGAGGAGCGAACTGCAAATTGTGACTCTTTGATTACGGTTGTTGTCGGTCAACTCATGAGGAACCCATTTTCCAAACTTTTGGACTTTGACAAGTGCACGCAATTGATTGGAAATTGTTTTTTGTGAACAATTTAAAGTTGTCGCAAGCTCTTGTTGGGTAATTTGAGGATTTTGCACCAAAAGAGCTTGAAGAGCTTCTTGATCAAAATTGGACACATGGCCTCGACCACTCTTGTCATCTAACGAAAAATTTCCCTCGCGAAATTTCTCAAACCAACGCTGGCATTTTCTGGCGCTAACTGCATCTTGACCAAGAGCACTACAGATGTTTTTTGCAGCCTCACTTGCTTTTCTTCCTAATTGGAACTCGTAAAGCATGCAGTGCCGAATATGCTCTTCATCCGCCATCTTCTTAGCCCTAGTTTTGCAACAAAAACCAAACCAAACACAAACTTTTTCAAGCAAAACTTGTTAATTGCACTTCACACGTTCTGTAGATACCACGTGTTTGAAGGTTATGTCAATACAAGTCAACGCCAAGCAAGATTTTAAACGAATGTTTAAAAATGACATTAAGTATTACTAGACCCGATATATAAACATTAGAATCAGCTTGTCAGTGATTGGGATTTTGATTGAGATTGTATTGAATCTATAGATCAATTTGGGGAAATTAACTTAACAATTCTTCAATCCATGAACATAGTATAGCTCCATTTATTTAATTTTTTTGTGAATTTCTTCAACATTGTTTAATAATTTTTAGTGTATAGGTCTTGCACATATCTAATTCTTTATTTCTAAATTCATGTTTAATTTTATTATAACTGTATGTTTTTTACCTCATTGTCTCCAGGCTACGCCCCCAGAGACTGTTGCTTTCAGTAGTCTTAACATTAGTGTTTAGCCATTAAGTGTGATTTTAACTTTGTGTTTTCATAGATGTTCTTTGTCTAATTGAGGAAGTTTCCTTGTGTCCCTAGTTTGCTGAGATTTTGTGTTATTAATGTTCTTAAAATATAAGATGATTTTGGGCTTATTTGCTTAGATACATGTACAGAAGCAAAGAGCTTATTCGAAGTAAGAGAGAAAGTATTCGAAAGTTGAAGGAGGAAGTGAAAGTCCTGCAGCAAAAACTGGAAAGGTAAGTTATGGACACCTCTGTA